GGTTTAAGGTTGACACCCGTCAGTACCACGCACTCGTTGGATTTCGGTTTCGATTTTGCTCAGTCGACCCGTCGACAGCTATCACTCAGTGCTTGAGGTTCCGTCGGAGTGGTGATTTCCGCAGGTACTGCGTCCAATTTTAATCCCTCTCACTGCTGCATGGAGGTGGAACCCTGCGCCCACGAGGTCACTGGAAGTTCTATTGGCTAGCAGGGCAGATCCCTCCGCCTCCGTGGTCTGGGGGAGGGATGCTGGACTCGTAACCCCGCGGCCCTGGGTACGAGACACGGAGCAGGCGCATTGTTTGACCCCACTGAAGTGGAAAGATGAGCTGGCAACTGGCCAACGAGAATGAACACGGGCGGCCGTGTCGCACCATTGTGCGGCACGTAAAAACCTCTGCATTCCTGGCTGGCGAAAGGGTGGAGGCAAAAATTATCCTTTGAACTGGACGGTACGACTTGGGTGGTGTGTTTAAGGTACACGCGACAAGCTATGGAAGTACTGTAAACCCAAATCCACCCACACAAACCGTTCGGAAAAGATTCATAAAAAATGAAATCTCTCAACGGTCGACATGCCATTCTTATCAAATCACCCCTTTACCACGCGCAGGTAACGACGGACGGCCTGCCCGTAGAGGAATAGCCATAATACGGCAGCACGGGGAAAATACTAACCATCCAACCCGAAAATTGGGTATAAATGCATTCCATACCACGGCGTAGGGCTCCCAGCTGCCTGTAAAGCACACTCGTCGTGTTTCGATCGCGACTGTATTCGGCCAACCCCCGACAGCGTATCATCACTCAATACTTGTTGGCCGCCGATGCGATGATTTGGACAGACACGACGTCCAAGTTAAGAGAACTTTATTTGAGCGCGAAAGGTGTAACCGTGCACAGATAATGCCATTTTAGAGGACTATCGGCCGGCAATGCCAATCTGCCGTCGACGCCATTAACTTTCATCGCCGAGCGGTCTTGTGGAGTTTGCAGCATCGTATTAGCAAAATAAATTATTGTAATGAATGTGATATATGCTCCTTGGAATTGGTATTTGTACCAATGCATTTGTACACACATATATATATATATATATATATATATATATATATATATATATATATATATATATATATATATAATATTGACGTTCAACACAACGCGACTCGAAAAACCAGCCATCGTTAACTCGCGTGCGACGAGACTCGGTGTTTACGGCGCACGTGCTCACACACTTGACGACTTTTATTTAACCTGAGATAAGCTACACTGCAGGATAATTTCCGGTTATGAAACATTAGGGCCATTCAAGCTTACGATATATGGAGTAATGACCCTTCTTACCTTGTATCATTTTTTAAAGGAAACGATGACATCTTTGGACGGGGGTCAGCTTTGCTTTGCAGACATATGAATGGCATGTGTGTTTTCAGCGTAGATATGGAAAACACGTTACTTCACCAGGAGCGTACGAAGGATTTTTCACAAGTGTGGGGGGGGGGGACAGGAACACAGAAGTAACGCTTTTACTGAAAACCGGTGTAACGTGCTGCAGGCACCTGCAACACCTTGCGTAACATAAAACAACATGGCACATTTTCAGTCTTCTGATTTTACGTATCTGATTGGAGTCTTAGCGGTCAGCATTTAGTCATGTACACACAAATTTCCATGCCATAAACTCGGTAACGAGGGGGAGACATGCCACCAAGCAGGCGCACAGTCAGAGCCTTGGCAAGTGGGGGGGGGGGGGGGGGCACAGGGTTGGCAAAGTTCCCCTGGCTGTGAAACCCCCCCCCCCTCCAAAAGAAATCGTCGGATATGGCCTGTTTGTTCATGTTTTTCATTTATATTCTTCTCCAATTTCTATTCATTGTATAACCGGAATGGATGCCAGAAGCTACCGCTATATAAATTCTGATTGAATTCTATGGTCAGTAAATTAAAAAAAATCATCCGTCAAGCGAATGCATGAAATAAATTGCCGGCGGTTTCAACTAAACATTGGTCCAGGAGATTCTTTCTAAACTGATAGAGCTAGAAGCTTGGCCAGAACTTTTTAGTTGAGTTCTACAAAGATGTTTGGGATCCCGCGAATGTAGATAGTAGATAGAAATGTGTCAACAATTTGTATAAATTCGGCCAAATACGGTTTGCTTGGAAATGTTCAGCATTTGGTCAGAATCGATTAGTGGCGTCAATTTTGTATGCAGTTTTGAACATGCGTGCATGCAAATCTTAGAAACAAAAACCGCGACGCCGGGCGTTGCAGTCTCCGCAGGCTGCACAACGGCGCTCTTGCTAGTTGTGGTCAACGGATAGACGAAAATGATGTTGCATCTAAAAGAAGTACTTGTGAACGCTCTAGGACATCAAATCGTATTTTTAGGAGGTAGTCTGAGCGTATATTTCACCGCTGCGATTTTTACATTGATGTTCAGAATGGATAGGCATTTCTAGCGCCGCGACTTGGTGCTGGCTGGAATCTTGTGGTAGACTTGGAAGGATAAAGCTACAATCTCTATTTTTCGTGTTGCTGCAACTGTACAGCTGTTCATAGGATAGCCTCAAAGCTCTAACAAAGATACGCCCAGTCTTATTTTTGCTCGGTATGAATTTATTTTGACACTCATTCGGAACCATTATTTCACGACGGCCGTTCTCGCGCGGGGCGCGTGATGTTACTTGCAGTGGTTAACGTCGTTCAGTTTTACGGTAACTGCAGCCCAAACCAACGTTTTCCTTGCTCCCGAGATTTTGAGCGCGCAGAGTCAAACCTTTTGACATAATTTGTCCACTACTCGATTCTGCAAAGGAATGAACGTTCTCAAGCAAACAGGATCGTATTTGGATCGTGATCGTTTTTGACGTCATTCCAACCTACTTATTCAGCGCTAATGAGACCCCTTATTTCTTTCCGGGCAAGAGGTCCTCTTAAGCAGAACACTAGGAGGCACCTTATTGTTCCCGGTTGGGAGTTTAAGGGCCACTCCGTTCCACCGCGGAGTGTCTTCCGACTGTCATTCTGGAGACACGGGCAGGATCCCCTGGTCGAACCGGAGGCCCAGAGAGGGAGACATCGTGTCACATTTGTCCCCTCTCTAACACGGCAGGCCTTCTGACCTGTGCAGTTGGCCCCGGATCGACGCAGAAACCCTCATTGACGTAACACCCCTGATCGCCGCAGGTGCCAAGTAATCGGTGCATAGACCTCAGGTCGGCTGAACGGGCCCATGCTGAAATTATATATATATATATATATATATATATATATATATATATATATATATATATATATAATTTATATATTTCTTGTAAGGTCGTTAAACTACGGCAGGCCAAGATCTGGGCATGAATTCAGCGTAGGCAAATGCAAGAGAATTATTCAGTTTGATGCAACAACGGAGTGTTAGACAAAACCATGCATCTTTGAAATAGTTTCTGAGCCAACATGACAACTAAGTGCACAAATTCCATTGACCTGGGGCCAAGTATGGAGGTCAGACAAAGGCCAAAACCAAAGTCTCTGGTTGCACTGGAGCTTGCTGTATGGAGCAGTTTCTGGTGCGCATTTAGAAGTTATTGACAACAGGAACCACAATATCATCTTCCATGGACCCCTTGAAGGTCAGAATAGGCCACTAGCCAAGAATGACCTAGGTTAACGTTTTGTTTTTGAGAGCAATACTGTCTATCGTATTCTTTGACCCTCATTCAAATGAAAACTCAAACCAGTCTTGCATGATTTTGGTCATCATGGCCTTCAAAAGGTCAAACAAGGTCACTGACCTCTGATGAGCACCAGAAACCTTTTGATTATAACAGGTGTCTCGGTTCTGGGGCAATTTGGACACAAATCTGCAGCTTGACCTTGCTTGACCTTATTTGACTCGAAAGTCATGACTTGGGAACCTCAAATTTGACACAAGTGAGTTCCCGTACAGGACAACACAACCTGAGAATATGGTGTCTCTAGCTTTCTTAGTTTCTGAGATCTTAAGAGTGGGTAGAATTGCCCTCATCCCCATACCACCCGGGCAAAGGATATTCAACCGGCCACCCGGACGTGAATGAACACATGAGGTGGTGTCATTTTAAAGTTTAAATGCCTCGGGGATGGTTTGCTTGATTGTCGTGATATAATATTCAGTATGTCGAACTATACGAGGTCAAATCGTGTGAAAATTTCTGAGCAATCGAAAGAGTCCGATTTTGTGCCACCTTACGCTTCCAAGATCATTTACGGAAACAATTTTGAATGCGTCAGTTCGAAAGTGTGAATTTTATATTCCGATTCTTCGATCTGTCAACACTCTGAATGTGGTCAAAATCAGTGGAGGTTACCAAATCCACCAAAAATGGCTTTGAAATACACTGAGCTTTGACCTTTGATAGCTCCGTTGTGTTTTAACGTTACACCTAGCAACTCGTATATTCGCAAATGGAATGATTAGCTCTATGCATGTCTGTGTATAGCTCTATATACGGATTTCGATTGGCGGATGTGACACACGAATGTGAATGTGAATGTGTAATATTGACTGAACTTTGACGAACATTTAACGAACCTTGGAAGAGCAAAGAAATGCATGACCTTGACTTGCTTTGGCATTGTGGCGCATTGTGCAAAACGTGCGTGGTGCGGGTGTGATGTAAAGGTGGGGGTGGGTTACTGGGGTGTGAACATTTGCGTGTGTGTTGACTTGTCATTGCATTCCATTTAAGTCATGTCATGTAACTACCGCCTGTTTCATTCCTACCCTGACGTGCCATTGTATTGCCCCCACCCATGAGCGAACAAGTGGTGTAGTAGGTGTGCCATCGGGGTTGCAGCAAGTAATTTTTTATGGAGAGGGAGACGGAGTGCAGTCAGAATGCAGCACACCGATTTTATCCTTCTGTTAGGAGCTGTGTATAGTGAAAACATAGGCACTGGTTACTCCATTCTATGCCACCACATTGCTGCCACTGAGATGACACCTTACCTGGTGGCCAGATTGTAAAAATACATGTAGCACTGAACGTGGTAGGCATAGCAGGAACATTCAGCTGATGGCTTGGGTGCATACACACTGTAATCTGAACTTTTATAGTTTGAATCATCATCAGTTAAAGCATCAGTTTCAGAGCATTGGGGGTCAGTGAAATTCAGGGAATTATTATGTTGCAATGGGTCTGTTCCCATCACTTCTCCAAGAAAGGATGAGACAAGTCTGGATAAGGTTGGAGGAGTGCTGAAATCTGCTGCTGCAGAACCATTTCAGGGGAGATACCAGCTGCCAGTGTGGAACTTAATCAAGCAGTCTTAGTGTGCTGATGGTGAATCACATAGGACATACTGAAAAATGCACTGTGAACTTTGAATATAAATGATAATAATATACAAATATGAAACCATGAAAATGCCTAGCATGAAACCTACCTGTGCTAATTTATACCAATATTTTGCTTCTGTTAGGGGACAACTTTGTACCCATTTGTTGAAAGTTGAGAAGCATATGAATGAACCATGTCACTAATGTATATCACAGCATCCTGCAAACTCCTCCAAAAAGTCATCTTTCACTTCAAAGGCATTTCAAGTAATGAGCATTGAGAAGCTTGGAAGAGTGTGAGAAACCACAGGAATGATCAGATTAGTTTGAAAGATCATTGAGGAACTTGGAGATGGTTTGAGGAATTACAGGAATGATAACATTAGGTTGAAAGAGCTTTAGGAAGCTTAGAACCTCAGGGTGAGTTAGGAGTGACAAGATCAGATCCTGAGATAATTTCAAGCTAAAGTGCTCTGAGAACATTGAACACACCAAAGTCATTTGAAAATTAAGCTCGATTCAGCCTGGTCTTAGTTTGGTGCATGTGAGAACAAGTGTCAGTGCACCAATGTTAAATTGGTCTCTTGCATAGTGGATGGGTTGTTTTGCAGGGTGGACTATGGGATCTGTGTTATGTATGCTGGATGGGACAATATTATGCACCTTAATTTGTTTCACTGATGCTGGTGATGGCAATAGCTAACCATGTGCTGCTTATCAGGCTGCTCAACATGAAAACAAAGAAGGCCAAGAAAATGAAGAGGTCCAAGGTAAATGAACATGATTTACCTGTGTTAGCACTTTTTCACATTAGGGATGCTCATATTGTTGACAATAAAAATGATATTTTGTCTCATAGGAGTTGGTGCAAAATATTCTCGCTATGTTGCAAGGAGATCATTTTGACATAAGTGCTGTGCCTTAATGCATTTGGACTGAATCCTGGTATGCCACCATCACCTTGATGGAGTCAAATAATCAGTGTTGTCATTGCAACATGAATGGAGTACTTAGATCATCACTTAAAGTACCATGTTCACACTGTGTATGATGGATTTCTCAGGCTTTCACCAGCTCCCTCAATACTGCCTCACCTTTTCCAGGAGAAAAGTATGGATGCTGTTGCATGTTGCTAGCTTTAAGTATTTACAAACTGCCCCTAGGAGCATTTCAGAAAACCTGTGAGCTTGCACATTGTTGGCTACCTGAAGGAGTGTATGACTGGGATGAACTGAGGACTACCTATAGCACAGTCTACACCCATGTGTGATAACTGGCATGTGGGACGTGTCTTGTCAGACACGGGTGGACCTGAGTGAGGAGGATGAGTTGAACCTGGAGAAGAAGCTGCACACCATGGGCCACTATATGTCAGACAAGGCTGAAATGCTGGAACAGATGTTTTCCATCATCAGGGGTGAAAAACTTAAGGCCATGCTGCCACCTTTGCTGAAGGTGAGAAAGTGATTATGTTATATGCAAAATTGTCCTGTTTGCCTGTATTTATGTCCTATTCTACTCACTTTGATGCATTTGGTGTGTCATGTTTAGTGCTGCCACTTATCACTTGAAAACAAATTTCAAACTTCATGATAAGGTGAGAATATAGGTTATAAGACACTTCAGCTTTTGTACACAACTGTTATTATGATCTTATTAGTGCCTTCCCAGATGTTATGTACTAACATTTTTTCAACATTGGACACATCCTTATGTGGGCTGTGAATCACGGACTGATTATTTTCAGGGGAAAGCATGACACATGTCATGCATTTCCAGTCTCAGATATCAGCATGTGATTAGTATTTTCATGTGAGCTCCAGTGGACTGTTCAGGTCACAACTTAAGTGTCCAGGGAGTCTGGACATTCCCATCCACCCCAGGTTTGCCTGCCAGTAGTCTACCTAATGTGACCTACTGGACATGGGGCCACCCAGGAGCTGCCTCTGTCAGAGCTGAAGAGCTTGTGCCTGGTAGAGCTGGTCAAGATGTCGTCGGAGCAGGTGCGCACAGTGCTGGCTGGCCAGCCCTGCCCCCCTGATCAGGAGGACAACTCGGCCGACTCAGCTGATTCCGGTCAGTCCCCCCCCCCCCCAGCCTGCGGCTGCCGCCCGACCAGGGGCTGGTGGCAGGCTGTTGCCAGTCACGTCGTCGGGCCAGGCCCATGCCGGTGGACGATCATGGCTGGTGTTGACTTCTCAAAAGCGAGCATGTTTGCCGGAATTGAGGTCAGTGAAGATGTTAAAGCATGCCCCATTGCTGACTGGCTGATATTACCAAGGAGTGTTCACTGTGTTAGGATGTTGTGGATATGTGTAGCTGCTGTGCTGCCTCTCGGGTCTGGTCTCCAGCTGCCTCTTGGGTCTGGTCTCCAGCTGCCTCTCGGGTCCGGTCGCCAGCTGCCCTTGCGTGGCCGCTGTGCTGCCTCTCGGGTCCGGTCGCCAGCTGCCCTTGCGTGGCCGCTGTGCTGCCTCTCGGTTCCGGTCGCCGGCTGTTCGTGTGTGTCGGGCGGCTGGACTAACGGCTGACTGCTGTGTCGGTGCTGTACTCCAGACGTGGTCGCCGAGGAGCAGCCAGATTCGACCTCGATCGAGCCCGCCGCGGCAGCGCCGGCCGGCGGCGCACAACAGTGAGTACGGGCTCGCCAGCGCAGCCGTCCTTCCCCCCACGCCCGACACAGACACAACGTCGGTGGCGCTATCATCTCCAGTGTCGTACCCAGCCTCTCTTTGGCACGGCCGGGTACAACAGGGCACGTGAAGCACCATCTCTGGGAGACCGACCCTCACGCGGGAGTCGTACCATTCTCCAGCGTCCTGGCAATTGGTACTGGGTGGGTGACGCTTGAAGAAGCTCTAGAACTGAGCATGTGTCGGTCATTAGATGCTCAGAACACATAATCTCGATCTGAGGCCTCATTTTATGCTGCTGATGCAGGGTTCACTGATGTTTCTCCGAAAGGGCCTCAGTGAAGCCAGGCTGGTGTTCCTCGTGCTGCGTCACCGAGTGTACGGGGTCAGACAGACGTGTATCTTGTTTTCAGGGAGCAACAGCAGCAGCCCCCGGCCGCCCCTGCAGCTGATGGCAAAGGTGAGAGAGCTCGTCACACTGCCCTGTCATGACGGGCAGCACAATGGCCTGTGAGTTTCACCACGGAGCTGATGCAGCGAAAAAGCACTAGTCCTCCAAGTTTGGATGAAAATACGGCTGAGGGAAATATGTGGGCGGGAAATGCCAAATCTAGTTACGTTGTCTGAACTCTTAAGCAAAGGGGGACGGTGGGGACGGCGAGTGAGTAAAATCGCGGGGCATTTTAGCATGTAGTGTTCAGCGGTCACCTTTCGTGACCTCTGCAAAAGTCATTTTGTATTAGCCACATTAAAGGTCTTAATAGGATTGTGTGGTTCAAGGGACGTCAAAATCTAATTTCGAACTAACATTTTCGCAAGCTCCGGTGTGTGGTCGAATGCCACGGTGATCTCTTGGTTCAAAAGATAGAAGTTGGCCGAAGCTAAACATCATCTGCTGGCTTGCATTCATATTCAGGAGATCACCAATCGTATCCCAGTAACGTTGCTCTGCAGTCTTCGTCACTGAACTGTCGCGTCGTAATGCCTTGACCGTGACAATATCGTCCACTTCCGGTTGCCTTGTTACAAGAGTCGCCCGTGGATCTGTGTGGTGGTGTTCTGAAGTAGCTACCCGGGGCTTGCGTCAACGCCGAAGCCGGGCGTTGGTCGCACGAGCAATGGATGGTGCATCTGTCGCCCGATGTCCGCCCTCCTGACTGAGGCTCTTTAACCTGCCGCCAGGTGGCGAGGAGACGGACCTGACGCTGATGGAGCTGCTTGAACTGGAGATGCGAGCGCGCGCAATTAAGGCCCTGCTGGAGCGCGACGAGGAGCCGTCCGAGCCGCCGCCGCCGCCGTCCGAGCCCCCTCCTCCACCGTCGCCGCCACCACCACCGCAAGCCGCCGCCGTCGCTGCGCCGGCCGCGAACGCAGCGGCCGATCGGCAGACTGTCGCAGACACCCCGCCGGGTGACGCGGTGTCAGTCCAGCCGGCTTGGGTGCCGCCGGCAGCCCGGTCCCGCTCGGCCTCACCCGCCCCGCGTAACTCGCCGCCACCGCGCTCACCGCCGCCGCCGCGTTCGCCGCCGCCGCCGCCGCTGCTGCGCTCCTACCGCACGCGGAAACGATCACTGTCACGCTCGCGCAGCCGCAGCCGCAGCCGCCCGCGCCCGCGCTCGCGTTCGGGGGGCTCCCGGTCGTCGCGCAGCCGGTCGGGCGGGCGCGACTGGCGGCGCTCGGCATGCACTCCGCCGCGCGGCCGACGGCGCCGCAACTCCTCCCTGTCGAGCATCTCGAGCCGCTCGCTGTCCGGCTCTGCCAGCGGCCGGCGCCGCCGCCGCAGCAGCAGTCGCAGCAGCAGCCGCAGCAGCAGCCGCAGTCGCTCTTCGCGCAGCAGTGGCAGGCGCTCGCGCAGCGGCTCGGCGCGGCGAGGGCGTCGGCCGCCGACGGCCAGTCCGCCCGCGGCCAAGCGGCGCGCGGTGCGGCGCCGCCGGCCGCGCCCGGTCGGCGTGGAGCTGGAGGAGGGCGAGCTCAGCAGCGAGTACGACGAGGCGAGCGAGCCGGAGCAGCAGGCTGAGGAGCGCCGCTGGCAAGAGTACAACGACGACGTGGGCGTCGAGCTCGACTTCGCGACCGATGACAGGAGGCTTGACGGCGCGCCGGCGCCGCAGCGGGGCGACGGTGATGCCGGTCAGGCGGGCGGCGCGGACAGCGCGGAGACGCCTGATGCGGCTTCGCGGCCGGAGTCGACTGGAACAGCCCGGCCGGCGTCGCTCGGGAAGCCGGCGCCGACGGAAGACGCGGCCGACAAGGGGTCGGGGTCCACCGCAGACGACAGGAACGTCCAGGCCGGCGGTGCTTCGCCTCGAAAGCGCCCGTGCGTGGCTGCAGCAGGAGCAGATCGACAGGGCCAGGCGACAGGCGGCGAGCGACACTCACCGTGGAGAGAGGGTCCTGCAGCGACGGACTCAGCTGTGGCGGCGGGGACGGCGGCCGACCGGATCCGAGGTCCAAGTCATGCAGCGGCGCCACCCTCGGGCGTGCCAGTGCCTCCTAGCTCAGAGATGTTAACGTCTGCTTGTGGAGAATCGCCGGCTTCCTCTGGGGACGACTTGCCCGTCCTCGGGTTTCAGTTTGAACCGCATGGTGGGTTTACTTCCGTTGAGCAATACGATTTGGGCAATGTCCCCGCGGCGGGATCTCGACGCATGAAGGACCACGCCGCGAAGTGGGATTCCAGCGAAGATGTGGACGATGTCACCGCTGTTGAGAGTACTCTAGTCAGGACTGACAAAATGTCCGCAAAGGTTGCCCCCTTGACTCCGGGTTCCCAGTCGTTGGACACTGCCGGTAAGGGTGTTACCACGCAGCCGGAATGTGCGACCAAGACTGAAGCCTCCCCACGTGAAACCCAGAAGGCTTTCAAGCGGTCCCCGATCCCCAGCCCTCGCCGTCGGCGGCATCAGAGATCACCGAGGCCGCCGGCCGCCGCCAGCGACGCTACCTCCGCTGAGGTGATGCCGGTCAAGAAGCCGTCACTCGACGCTGGCTGGCCGGTGGAGGGGGCGCCAGAGGCCGCTGAGGTCGATGACCTGTCTGAGGACCCGACAGGCGGCTCGCGTAGGTCGGGTCGACTGCGGGGCCGGCGGCCGACGGGCGGCGCACGGCAGTCGCCCCCGGCCGACCGCCTGCGCCGCCACCGCAGCGGCTCGCGGGCCGTTGCGGCCGGCACCAGCCCCGCAGGGAAGGCGGAGACTTTGGCACACCACAGTACGGAGGAACGTGAGGACAAAGGTTCGGCAATGTCCGACACAAGCCCAGGGAAGACGACTGACTCCAGGCCGGGAAAGAGCGGCGACACAGCGGCGGGCTCCGCCTGCGATGCGCCTCCGGCCGATTGTCCGGCCGCCGCTCGCTCGAGTCCGCGGAAGTCGCGGCGCTCGTGGGCGCCGCCGGCCCGAGCGTCGTCGCCGGAGCGGGCGGACGAGGCCGGCGGCGGTCGGGCCCGACGCGGCCGCAGTTCGGGCCGCACGCCACCGGCCGAGCCGGAGCCGAGCCGGCCGGCGGTGCGGCGCCGCACTGGCGGCCGGCCGCGGACCGGCTCCGGCGCCGGCGGCGAGCCGCGCCCTGAGGGGTCGCAGGCCGGCGGCGGCGCTGGCCGCTCGGAGGCTGCTCCGGCGCCGGCAGAGGACAGCGCCGCCGGTCAAGTGGGCGATGCAGCGGGAGGGGCCAAGGCGGCCGCCTGCAGCGAGGCGCCGCCCGGCCCGAGCGTTTCCGCGGGCCCGACGGCAGCCTCCGGGCCGGACGCGTCGGCGCAGCAGGGGATCGGCTACTGGCGCGAGCTGGCCGCCGAGGCGCAGCACCGCTACCTTGCGGAGGAGGCGGAGACGGCGCGGCTGACACGTCAGGAGCAGAGCCGCCTGCAGGAGCTGGAAGCGCGCCTGGAGCAGCAGGATGACGCGCTGGAGCAGGGCATGGCTGGCCACACATGGGCTGTGCGCTGGCTGCAGAGTGACAAGGTGCAGAGCGTTGTCAACACCAGCAAGGTGTACAGCCGCGTCAAGCAGAAGCTCAAGTCACTGAAGCGCACCGGCGAACCGTCGCCTCGGCCCGAGGAGCCGCGCGTCAAGGAGCTGCCCCAGGTGATCGGCAGCATCGAGGAGTATGAGAAGCTCTTCGGCAAGAAGGTGGTGGTCAGCGGGCCGCCGCCGGAGCCGGAGCCGGAGCCGGAGCCGGCATTGAGGCCGGAGCCGAGCGGCGGCGCTGGGGCTGAAGCTCGGGAGGCGGCCAAGCCGTCCGTCCAGGAGGCCGCCGCCTCAAGCGACGACGAGGATGCCATCTGGGGCGATATTCTGGGGCAGGACTAGGGCGGCTCGCCGGTGGCCGGCTGCGGCTCAGAGGCGAGTGTTGATGCGTTTGAGTGGAACCAGAATACGTCTCGTTTTCGTCAGAGAAGCGGAGCGGTCGAGGGATGTTCGTTCAGACGTGGCTCGTCCGCTGTGGCGTTTGCGCCGGCCAGTGTTGCTAGCGTAGCAGGCCAGAATTCCGCCTACTTCGACGGAGAAACGTGCGAATCGTTCACCATCTCCATTTTACCTGCAAATACAGGGATTGTGTATATTAAAGTGCACTGGTGTGCAAACGGTGGTGCGATATGATTGTCAGCATCCTTTCCAGACGGATCTAAACTGGATGAAATGGGTTTCAATTTTGTGCTAATAACGTAAGCTGTTCAGTGTTCAGTTGAGACTTCTGCTATTGTGTCGAGAAAGGCATGTGGCCGAAATATCAACTTAACTATATCTAAATTCTCCTGCGTTTTCCGAGCAATAAGGCTAATACTTCTGTCTTATCTTGGTGCCAATCAGCATGACGAGCTTGCGGTTGTAGCAACTCGCATCAATTCGCGGACCAGAGCTCTTATTGCAGCCAAGCGATGCATCGGTGCCTGTTTTCAGTGCCATATATCCAAATTTTGTGCCGACTATTTCAAGGTTGCCCGGACATCCGCGACGTCATGGTGTCGTCATTCAAATCCTGTAACTCTGCTGGCCATGCGGCGTTTAAGGCGAAGCATGTAATTGTCAGTTCATTCATATCCGGCGTTCGCGAGCACGATTTCCAGATATAGCGGCCGCCAATTGGCTCCCAACCGATGTGCAAACTTTGCAAGATGGTATCACGAATTAATTTTGTGCTGGGTAGTACCAGAAATTGTGCATGCATCCTAGTTTTGCCGAAATAGGACCCTACTCGACTAGCTCAAGAACAGCCCTATAACCGGGTGCATCAATACAAGAAAGCACTTGAGTGTCCCATCTTTGGGACGTATTTCAAAAACGTACCCTGGTGGAACGTCAGCACCAGTTGCGTTTAATGATAGCATTGGGTAGTGCCGCTGCGGTACCGTCGAGACAAGGATATCAATTTTACTTATTTATAGTCCGAATCACGCCGTTATGCTTTGTGACAGCACTACCTAGTGCTACTGCAATTCTTTCCTACAGTTGCGACCACCGTCATGAAAACGACCATGCGCTCCCCTGCTGGCGCGAATAAAAGAACGGTTGTGATTGGCCCATGGGTAAGAGCCTGTTCCCGGGAAGTTGTTAGTTGAAACTTGAAGTATTGCACCACATGGGTCTCGTCACACTCCGTTTCCGACATCCAAAGTGCGTCTCGAAAAGAGCAACTGTGTTTAGCGTCATAGAGGAGAAATCAAACACGTTTCGTTCAATTCGCGTGATGATAGCTTTATGTTCGCATATATTTTTGTCTTAACAGTGTCTCAGGATTGCGCAGCATTTCTTACTCAAATATTTTGTGATACGTTGGTTGCAAGTATTACAACACACATTGGAAGACAATGTTTCAATTCTTTCTTCAAAAAGAGCACATCTCACCGATTCCCCTTTTCCCTCCACCGATTTCCATGAATCCAATTAAACAAACGATGTGAGTCATTCATGCTTAGCGATCAAACCTCCGCATACTGTTCAAATAACGACGCGCGGCAGCCTCGGAAAAATCAGTCTGTGGGGCGGCCTTACTATTTTTTTAAAAAACGACCCAACAAGTCATCGATCGAAGGCCGTCGGTCTGACTGAAGAAAATCTTTCGTTTATTTAGGGATGGGGGTCAAAAACCCCTAGAAAACTTACGTGGCGGGTTCTGATCGCAGGAATGTTTTCCTTTGCAATACTCTGCCAAATGATGCCTCATTTTACATGCAGCACTGCGCACGGTTATCATTATTTGACCCGCGAAACACTCGCAACATTCAGAGTGGCTAAGTACGTTGTTAGGTGCATTTGCGAGGGACGCCATCCGCATAAATAAGAAAGTATTAGTGGCCTCATTCCTCGGAGACAAACTAGAAAAATGGAGATACAGCCAGGTTGATATTTCGTCAGCATGCTTTTATCGAAACGATATAGGTTTCGAAGGCCAATGAAGTTTCTTGCGTCATGTTGATAATAATCGGTCAGTCATTTTCTCACACGCTAGCGTTGAAAAATGATAGGCAGTTTATCTCTGTACTGTTGCCTTTGGAGCAGCGGTGCAGTTCCGCAAAATGAGTTGGGGGGTGGGGGAGGACTAAATAGTGAAAAATGACCTAACCAACATTACCCAATAAGCCCCCGACAACCCCGTTTCCCTCCTCCAACTGAAATGGAAGCCACGCCTCCGTTTTGGAGTAAATAGATATTTCAGGGCAGGCATCGCATGGCCAAGTTTTCCATTTCCTTGACCTGTAAAGGAAATTCACAAATTTTCGCTGTTAAATCTGTAATAAATGCGGAGTATCCCCCACTATGTAGTTACGGGGATGCGTTTTGATTAAATGTTACAGTTATTTTTGTAATATGAAAACTAAAACATGTTATCAATTTAGCGTATGCAATACTCCCGACTGGCTGCAAGCTATTTCAGGGACATAGGACATGCTTCTTTACCGACCTGCCATAACGGATCACCATGAAAGCCGTCGTAGCTCAAAAGCTTAATTAACTTACTCGACCCCTAGATGGCAGAACTAGCCATGCTCCTGATATCCGAGGACCGAGCGACTGTTGGTGGATGGGACTCCTCTCCGGGGGTTGTGCACGCGTGCTCATTTAAGTGCTAAATGCGGGACGCGTACCCATACTGAGTGCTCCGTTTGCATGCGTTACCATGACAGCCACAGAGCGCCATCAGTTACTTACCTGCCTACCATAATAATGAACTCCATGAACTCAAGCTATCTGAGCCCACTGATTTAACAGTCTTGATGTGCTTTTGAACCTGAGCTCCACGGATGTCAATTTTTGGGGTTACTAAGCACCCCCCCCCCCAATGCAAGCCCTCTGAACCCTCTCCTGAGCCCCAATGTACGTGGACAAAACAGGAGTGAAGTATTGGGATGTCAGGTACCTGAAAATATCATTATTAGTTTCCCGTTCATTTTAGACCACAGAGTACACTGTAGGTACCTTACATGTTGCTGCAATTCCAACTCCTCATATTTTAGGCTAGTACGCCAATATTAGCAGGTTTTGACGAGATGTCGCCTTGATCGGGCAAAAAACGGACTGCGATAAGCGGCAGCTTATGGGCACCAGATGGCTGAGTGTACGGTTTACGGGCTTTTAAGGGAATGAACGAAAACACTCCAAGCTCCATCTTTATCGCAAAATGTAAAAAACTTCATATATTAACGCGTTGCTTTTCAGTGATATCATCTTGCATCACCTGGGACTAAAGAAGACCTTTACCCCAGTGCACCTTTCTTGTGTCACGCCATTTTTACTTTACTACTTTGCTGTCATGTGATGGTGGCACTGTTAACACCATCACTCAACTCATATGCCAATATTTCGTGCTGTATATTGCTCATATGACCTTGGACGGTGGTCATGGTCGAAAATCCTCTGAACTTCCACGGCCTCTTTAGATGGTACTACCCGATGTCCAAGCTAACACCTTTCATGCGTTTGAGATAGGTCAGGCTATGCAGCTGTTTTGTGCGACATCTTGGCGACCCGAATGTGATTTTCATCCAGTTTCATGCCAAGGCCATTGCGTTTTCACATGTTATATGCCCAAAGCCTAATTTCGTCACGAGATAGATGATGACCCTATGAAGTCAATCTGTATCGCAAAGGCCATATTACTGATGGGTTCGTCATGAAGTCAGCTTGCCGATGTAACCTATCCTGAGTTGTCTTCGTCACAATGAGACCCTGGCTTCATATGACCTTTTGCCTTCTTTCGTCGAGTTTTACAATCGTGATGTCATGTGGTGGTGGCATTATTCTAAGTGTCACTCAACTGCTCTGAACAGCTTTCGCGCCTCTTGATTGCTCACGTGGCCGTGGACGTTGGCAAGGTCTAAATTCATCTGAACTTTCATGACTCCTTGAGGTCCAACGAGCCAAAGCCCAGCCTAATGCCTTGATTTGCAATTGAGATAGGTCCATGCAGTGCTGTGTGTCTGTTTTTAGCGAAATCGATGGCGACTGTAATGTTGGTTTAATCAGGTTTCCTGCTGAGGCGAACCCGGTTTAACACATTGGGATAGAAAATGTCCAAAATGATCGTCCTTTGCAGATAGATAAGACAGTGGTAATAGCCATATTCCTCGGGGAAAAACAAGAGAATGGAGATATAGATGTCACGAATGACTGTCTTTATCTCTATTCTTCTATTTTTTTTTCTTCGAGGAATGAGGTCATTACTAGCGTCTTATCTATGTGCACAATGCTCCTCGCAAATGCACTTAACAACTTACGTTCTTTGCAGCTATCTGAAAAATTTCAAAATGATCGGAAAACATGCTTCTACCGGATTTTGCGACGTGATGGGGTTTCATTTGGACACATGCTCTGCTATTGGACTATTATTACAGGTTACTTGTATTTCTCAACAAGCGCTTAGGTGGGGGTCAATTTGTCCCCCGAAGGTGTTTCCGGAATGCTTTCCGAACGGTGCGGCGTGGCCGCGCCAACTTTTGCAAAGCTGTAGACAATGGAATGGCGGATCGTTCGGTATCAAAATCTGTACGTATCTTGTAAGGTTGTTGATATACGGCAGGTCAAAGTCAGGCCATAGATTCAGCAAACTCAATTCTAGGGAATGGTTCAATCTGATGCGACAATGGAGTGTTAGACGGAGCCATACGTCTCTGAGATACTTTCTTAGACAGCACAACAATTGAACGAACAAATTCCATCGACCTAGGGTCAGGTATGAAGGTCTGACCAAGACCGAAACTAGTCCGTTGCATCATTTGATAGCTTACTGTATGCGTTAGTTTCTGGTACTCATTCCGAATTAATTGATAACAGGAACCGCATTATACATCTTCCATGGCTTCTTAACGGGCAGGATAGGTTACTGACCCAAGGTGGCCCGGGCCAATATCTTGTTTATGGAACATACTGCCTAGCGTAATTTTTGTCGCTTATCCAAATGCAAAACTCAAAGCAGTCTTGTATGGTTTTGATCACCATGGCCCTTTAAGAAGTCAAACAAGGTTACGGACCTTAAACGAGCATGTGTCATTTTGCTTAAAGCAGGTGTGTAGGTTTGGGGTCACTTTAGACACGAATATGTAGTTTGACCTCGTTTGACCTTAATTGACAAAAAAGCCATGACCTAGGAACCTCAAACTTTGACCCAAATGAGTTCATGTATAAAAAAGACACCCTGTGAATTTGGTGTTTCTAGCTTTATTAGTTTGTGAGATCTTAGGTGTCAAATTGGCCCTCACCACTTGGGGTATCCAACCGGCCACCCGGGCGCGTGTTAGCACCCGTAGAACGGACAATGCCTAGGCTCCGGAATAGTCCCATTCTACTCAGTGGTGCAATATCTACCAATATGCGGAGCTTCAGCGAAATCCAAGGAGATCGAAAATCCATCTGAATATCACTATCGGACTCTTGCTGTTTTCACGGACATATCGCGCTGTGTCCAGCACGACATGGCTCTGTGCATGGATCTGCGCATGGTACTGTGCATGGCTTGTGCATGACTCTGCACATGGCTATGTGCATGGCTGATACGCTATCACGGTACTATAAGTGCCCGGATCAACAAGTCCACACAATGATTAATGCATGGATGTGTCTCAGAATAAATAAGCCCGACACAGCTTAACTACAGCTTAACACAGCTTGTAACTACATTCCAAATATGATTATAATGGCATACACACAACTGAAGTATGGGGATGATGGAAGGAATAACCAGGTTTCCTTTGTGATGACTTCGAGGTACTAATCCCAGTTGGCTGTCTTTTTGTTCTGTGCGTTCATATAAATGTACAAACAACTATGTGCGTTAAAAGACTAGTTGT